TTCAGTCATGGGAAAAATGTCACAAAAAATGTAATAAAAAACATTTTGTAAATGTAAAATGATGTAGGGATGGCAGTGCCAAAAATAATGCAAACAAGAATATAGGGATGATATAGATATGCTTGGATCATCCCTACATGACTTTCAATATTAAAATTTAATTTTATGCTGCAGAATACATACTTGACTTTAATATTACTGCAGTTGAAAATTATATATTCTTGATTGTTGGTATGCAGTTTGTTTATCATAATATCATGGTCATGTCAGGGTAGACATCAATGTAGTGTAAATAAGAGCATAGGACTTCCATACAAGGGAAACCAAATTCAGTCAAAACATGTCTGATTATTACAGACTCTCCCTACAAGATTGGTCAAATGGACTGATTTTGTAACCATTTTGTACTCATACATTTTACAGTGTAACATTAAATTTTAATATTGAAAGTCATGTAGGGATGATCTTTGTAAAGCTGTATCATCCGTATATTTTTGTTTGCATTCTTTCTGGCAGTGCCATACCCACATCACTTTACATTTACAAAATGTTTTTTATTACTTGTAAAAAGCTGGATTCAAGATACCAGCATAGTGTTAACCCATGTTTTTAATCAAAGCATTTTTTATCTTGGTTATCAACCATGTTGTATGCAGGGTGATGCTTTGAGATTGTGCTCTATTTATGCTTAATAATATCAATAAGTACTTTACACATCTTATCTGTTTTTTGAATAATTTGACTTGTATTTCATATGTGACTGTCAAACTAGTACATTTAAAAATTTTTAATATACAGTTTTGGAAATACTTATGGAAACAGTCAATAAAATTATCAAATGCAAATATTATGGAATTGCTCCCTCTTTATTGTATTAAAGTGAAATGCACTGAGTACAGTCACAAGTTGAGAGTTTATATTCTAGTTGACTGTTCCAACTAAGCAAACAGCGCCATGACAGGTAGTCAAACTAATTTCAGCAGTAGTGTTGTGAATCTCTTCATGGCTACCAAGACAGAAATGCTACAGAACAAACAAATAGAAATGAATGTTTTGACTGATGAAGTCTATTCCATGTGAAAGATAAAGTTGAATATCATGTATCAGTAGGATGTGTATGGAAATTCAAATGAGGGTTCCTAAAACTAACACTGTTGATAATAGAAACTGTCGTAGTCGAAAGTCCAAAATCTTCAAAAGTGATGTTAAGTAACTCAGAGTATGTTCTTTACATGACAAGTAACAATCCAATAGAGATTTTGTCAATGACCTAGATGTAAGTACATTTGTAAATGTTATCTTACATGTGTGAAGATATCTATAAGCATGAAGGGACCTCAATAAATGTGTTGCTGCTGCAATACCACTGCTACAAGAAATAACAAAATCAAAATACTTTATTTAATATGCCTAATATTTCAAACAGTGGATGAGCAAAGCTCATTGAGGGTGCTACTTACATGTGAATTCAAATTCAAATTGTTTGGCAATAATCAGTGATAGTTTGTTTAATTACAGAGAGGATAACAGTTCCACTGTTAATGTGTAATATCAACAGTGAAACATGCTTGAGCACCAGAAAAAGTGTGGTAGCATCTGAACCAGTGGTGTTGGAGATATACACAACATTTGGCATCTTGATTGCTGTGTACAAGCAGATGCTTATTCATCATGTTATTCCCCTAAGAAGTTCTAGTAAAACAGTGATCCCAAACATGCAGCAAATGTGATGAGACTATATATGGAAGGAAAAGAGGCTGATGGAACACACACAACTATGGCTTGTCACAAAAATAGTTCTAATATGAATAATAATAATAAGGCTGTATGGGCTTATATAGAAACTGAAATGATAAAATGGTAACCAAACAACTTGGTTGAATTGTGAAGAGCAAGACAGTATATTTGAACAATATATCACAATTATCTATTGATAAATGTTTAGTAGCATAAAAACAAGGTACTGCTATGTTTAAAATGGATGCAAAATTCTAGCACCTTGTGCATCTTATTTGAGTGTTATTTGTATATTTTTGTAACATTTTATTTTACAAATGACAGATTGACCATTTGATTGCAAGCAGTCATTGACTCATGTTTGAATCTTTTACCCGGAATTGTCATTGTTTTAAATGTTTGCATACTGGAGTGGCCCTTGTGAACATGTCATGATGATATACAGTGTTGCATTCAAAATTTAATTGAAAACTTTATTGTCAATAAAATTTGTATGAAAAAATAGTTTAGAATTCAAGTGTTATATTATTTGAGTTTCAAGTTCATAAATTCAAAAGAAACTTCAAAAAATGTTTAATCTTATTTTTTATGTCATATGACATGTCTTAGCTCTGATTTTTCCATTTCAGAATTTTTAACTTCAAAAATAAGCTTCTACAGTTTCCAACCAATTAAAAGCACAAACTATACTTATGGAAAGGATGTGGACTTGGTGTACTTAGATTTTCAAAAGCTTCTGATAAAGTGCCATGTAAAATAATGGTTAAGAAGATCACATCAGTAGGAGTAGGGGAAATATTAATTAGTTGGATTGTAAGTTAGTTGATTGAGAGAAAGAAAAAGGTTATTATTATTGATGGAATCCAGCCAAACAATACCCTTGCTACTAATACAGTACCTTAGGGGTCAGTGCTTGGACCTCTGCTTTTTTTCTTAATTTACATTAATAATATTTATAGGGGGTGTAATTAGTAAGTTGGCAAAGTTTGTTGATGCCATTAAATTAGGGTATTTCTAACTGTATTGAGCTGTTGAAGTATTACAGAATGACTTAGATGATTAGTACTTTGGCATATGATCTTTTATTGAATTATACGTTAAATATGGATAGAACCCCACTCAGTAGTATGACTGAAAAAGGGGATTTCTGATACAGTACATTACCTCTTCTCACATAAATAGTTATTCTCGTTCAGTGCTGCCCTCTATATGCAAACAAATTATGCATGTCACAAGCCTTCTATCCCCCCTCCATTATAATTGACTGATTCCAATCACTTGTCGTTTGGCAGTATTTGTGTACAGATGTTTTTTCTATTTGTGCTCTTCGTGTGAATCTTGATTTTAATTGTTTAATTGCCGAAGTGGGATTTATTCATTATTATTTTGTTCTTTACATTGAAGAAATCTTTTACTTTAACATAATTTCCCAGTCTCTATTTTTTTCTCACTCTTGGAAATTTTACATCAAACACTTTTGTTTGACTTGCATATTTCTACAGTGACTTCTGAGGTTCCTGTTCCCACTTTGGGTGTTATACTTCTAGCACTATTTTCACAGGCTGCAGGTGGGGGAGACCCATCGTTGGATTTCTCTGCTATTATCCATTGTGAAATCGATCCTCCTCAACGAGCTGTTTGGGTTGATGAAAATTTAATAGCTTTATTACACCACCACATTTTGCAGTGCTTAACTTTTGACAACATAGTTTGTAAAAATACATTCACTAATTATATTTACAAACAAAAAGGTTTGCTGTGACATTTTTTAACTACTAAATCATTTAAATCATGAGGATGAGAACAGTTATTAGAACACTATGAGAACCAGTAATATTACCTCTGTCAGACCTTGGGTTATCATTACCAATCTGATACAAGGCATGGCCAGGTGGTTAGGGTGCTCGACTCGCAATCTGTGGGTCACGAGTTCAAATCCCTGTCCCTCCAAACATGCTCGCCTTTTCAGCCATGCAGGCATTATAAGTGATGGTTAATCCCACTATTTGTTGGTAAAAGATAGCCCTCGTGTAGCTTTGTGCGAAATTCAAAAACAAAACAAACTGATACAAGGCAGTAGGGTAAGCTAACTCAATTTTCACAGTTGTCATGGTACCTGAATAAATTGAGTGGGCCTTGTTTAAAAGCATGTCACCCAAGTTGCCATTAACTTTATGTTTTCACTTATTAATAAGACAGAAAAGCTATGTCAACAGAAACTAATCTTTTTAATCCTGGAGTGGAACTGCAATGTCAACAAGAGAGGACCATATTAATATTTAATAATAACATCAGATCATAGCAAGCTAACTACTTAGAGTGAAAAAAACACACCTGATAATGAGTATAGTCAATTAAGTATATTTTTCTTGCTTAACGATTAGAATTCATTAATTGGGCATTCTCACTGTTAAAGATATTGTCAGCCCATGATGCTTACTATAAAATGTTTAAAAAATTCATAAATTAATCATAAATGAATACTGCTACTTACATGTATGATGAGCCAAAACAATGGCAAAGCAAAGCTGCTAATACCTTTTCTTAATGTATTGTCGAGTCTACTCGTAATTTTTCTGTAAAAGAGTCTAAATTTTTAAGTATGAAAATTCACATTGAATATATTATATCATTGATAATTATCTTTATACTAGCATATAGCCCATCAACAATGATGGGACAAGTACTACCACCCTCACCCCATAGTATACCTCAACCTCACATTTTATAGTGAACTTAAATAAATAAATTTTGTGAAATCAAGCATGACCAACAAAGAGGCAGAAAAATGCAGTTGAGACACCCCATAATAGTTAAAACTACTGTGTAACCTCCCATAATAGTTTTGTTTCTAATTGATGGAAATATATTCTTGAGCCTTACCAAAAAAGGAGCATGGAAAGTTTCTTGACAGTGTAACATCCCATAATAGTTAAAACACACTATAACATCCCATAATAGTTTTGTTGCTAAGCGACAATATATATTGTTGAGCATTACCAAGAAAGAAGTGTGAAAGCATTCTCGACAGAGTGACAAAGGGAATAAGGCATATCCATAGAATAATTAGTGGTAAAAATTAGTTAGATTAACAACTAATATGATATATAAATTAGCTTCATTCAGAAACGATTTATATTTAAAATTGATTCAATATTTTTACTTTAATTATAAATTTTATGCACTTGGCTCTAGGTTAGGTGATCCCACACTACATCTTTAAGCTTATTATACCAACACTCACAACACTTCTTAGGTTTCATTGCACCCTTGCACCCCATCACTAAAATCTTAATGGGCAGACTGTAATTGAACTATTCTATCTGGATAAATGAATTTTGGCTTTTATGACTCATATTTCGAGAAATCAAGTGTGACATGACATGATACACACTGGCTTTTTTTTATAGGTTAGATACTGCTGTGTTATGTTTATAATACACATTATTCTAATAACTATAGACCCAACTGAGCTCAAATGTATTATTTTTCTATTAATTATATTTATACACTGATAAGCTATATTTAGTGTATAATACACTTTATTCTAATAACTATAGACCCAACTGAGCTCAAATGTATTATTTTTCTATTAATTATATTTATACACTGATAAGCTATATTTAGTGTATAATACACTTTATTCTAATAACTATAGACCCAACTGAGCTCAAATGTATTATTTGTCTATTAATTATATTTATACACTGATAAGCTATATTTAGTTTATAATACACATTATTGTAATAACTATAGACCCAACTGAGCTCAAATGTATTATTTGTCTATTAATTATATTTATACACTGATAAGCTATATTTAGTTTATAATACACATTATTGTAATAACTGTACATGTAGCTATTCAGTAACTGATATATGTTTTGATTATATACAATGTCTTATTGATAACTGACAAGCCATCCTTATCCATGTTTATGGTGAGAAAATTCCAAAATTTAATATGTTTTGAAACGTGCTACAACACATCTTTTAAAAAACCTTTCCAAAGCAATCAGCAAACATTATAAAACAATCATTAATGTTAACAAATATTCACATGAACTGTTGCTTCTACAGGCAGTTGCTACCAATAAAGAAATTTGTCATAGATTCACATGAACATTTGAAGCCCTTGTCAAGTAAAATAAAAATTCTCTGTGACCTTAGCAGTGAGATGGCAGTTCATTTAGCTTCCTGGACAGCTTTTAATTGTTTAAATCATTACATTACATAACAACCCAACAATAAATTCCAGAAAACAGTTACTCACTCCTTGTAATTTTTTTATGTGTATCACTCATGCATTTCCATAATTATTTCCAACACTGTATACATTCTACTTGAAATGACTTCGGTGACTTTATAATGTATATGTTGCATCATTTGATACCTTTCCACATATTTACCTTGTTTATTGTACAAGTGCAATAGAATGTATTTACATAAATTTTGTGAATGTGAATAATATTTCATTGACATTAAGTTGTTTTTATATAATAACTTCAGAAAATCAAATGCCCAGAGATGTTGTATGAAGATGTCATTGAAGTGGAAGAAAGAGTTCTGATACATCAACAGCAATGTCAGCTAAATAAAAAAAATCCTATCTGTGTTGGTACTACTAATGAAAAGGTAAGAATACATATTATTGAATAAATCATTTTCAAATATTAACATAAGTGCATAATTTCAAATTTACAAGTATTTCTTTCTGTAGTAAATTACTGCTTAAAAACTGCAGTTTTTGTCTGTGGGTATTTTTGAGGATTTTAGGAAACTGAGCTGTAAGGTCGTGGTTGAGCTCATAAAAGGTTGATCTATTGAGTTGGCAGTTAGCTTTAGTGATGTAATGTTTTTTTTTGCTAAGAATAACTATAGTGCCATAATGTCTGCTGGCTTTCTTATAGTATTGTGTAGTAGATTTCTTATCTCAATTTGTGTCCTTGTGGCTATGGTCTTCTTTTAGTTTCCTATCTTGGTCTTCTTTAAAGAGAGTTGAAGTTCAAAAGTTGTATTTCATTTTCAACAAAATAATCTCCCACTTCTGACACCACTGTTGTATTATTGTTCTTTCCTTAGCATGTTCTTTCAAATTATTAGGTAAGAATAATTCAACATCCAGTCCACGTAACAATTACAAATTACATTCAAACCTCTTTTACAGTAATGGCATCATTAAAACTCACAGCTCCATTTAGTTAACAAACAAATTAAAATAGTTGAAAACATTGCTTACAACAATATATATATATTTATATATATATATATGTGTGTGTGTGTGTGTGTGTTGTACTTAAAATATTATGCTTTTTTCAGTAGAGAATATATGACACCATAAAGTTTTCACCTCTTCATCAGAATTGTTTCACAGTTTGAAGTCTATGAGTTTTTAAATAAATTTTACTTATTTTCTTTCCTTTTACCTTTTGAAATTTCAGAATACTTTCATTCCCCCTTTTTATTTTGGTCTTAAATTTCCATCTCATGACTTATTTATGTTACTGGAAAATCATCTTATTATTTATATTAGTAGGTTAGATTATATTACACTCTCATTTCTTATGTAAACAACAACAAAAGGTGCTGTTTTGCTCATTTGTTTCCTTCTAAAATTTAATATGCTAGTTTGTGCTGTTGTTATGAATCAATTTTGTTCATATTTATTTTCACTTTTGTGTACATCAAATACTAATATCCAGCAATTTCTGTGCTTCATTATGTTTCTTTAATTATTTTATAAATATTTCATGTTGGATATACAAGACTGTTTAGCTTAATAATTATTATTTAGTTTATTTATTTATTTAATATTTGATAATCATTTAGTTTTCATAACAAGAGTGTTAAAAGTTAATTATTTTAAAAGTTTGTCATGTAACTTTGTATGAGTCATACGTTGTGTATGCAGTTTGATTGTTGTACTAGGCTTTGGTTATATTGTTGACATAATCTTATTTCCAAGTTTTTCTATTATGTGTAATATTGTTGCTACTAGAGGGCTAGAGAGTTCTAGATATTTCTGTTATGTGTTATAAATATGTGCAGATACAGCAAGTTAAGATGGAAAAAAAGTTAGTTAGTGAACGGAAACGTGAAATTAGCTGGCGTGTGAGTGATTAACCTTAATGGGTGGTTTCTAAAGTGAGTTTCACAGTTTGTATTGTAACAACAGAGATAGAAAAGAATAATTTATCTTGTCAAAGGGTGTTCTAAAGTAGCTGAACCAACCTATGTGGAGATGAAAAAAAAAGAGACAATTATTTAAAGCTCTGGATACAGCTGTGGTAATCAACAAAAGAAGTTAAGTGATGTTAAGTCAGAAAATGTTAAGTTAGTTAAAGTGACGTTAGACTGCATGATTATTAGTTTAGCTGTAACGGGCAATATTTTATAGTGAGTTTCACAGTTTGTATTGTAACAACAGAGATAGAGAAGAATAATTTATCTTGTCAAAGGGTGTTCTAAAGTAATTGAACCCACCTGTGTGGACTTTGATGAAAAAGAGACATTTATACTTCTGGATACAACCTGGTAACCCACAGGGTAATGTAAGTGAATTTATTGCAACTTGAATAGTAAAAAAAAGAGTAGAGAAAAATAATTGGTCTTTTCAATTGGATTGTAAAGTAATTGAATCAGCCCGTGTGGAAGTTTTACAATAAAAGAGAATTATTTAGAGTTTTAGATAAAACTGTGATATTCCATAGTGTAAAGAATTTTTGTACATACATTTGTCTTGTTTTGAATATATTATTTTAAAACAAGTAGACTGCATGCTGTACATTTATTGTTTTATTTTATCGCCATCAAGTCACAGACACCTACTGTAAAAGAATACCAGCCCATATACAAAACCCTGACATTCCAGTGTTTATTGTTTTGATTCCAGTGACTTTATTTTAATACTTTCATTCTGTAGTGTTTCTGAAATTTGTTGATTCATTGTTATATCAATTATGTGTTTAACTAATTAAAAGCTGCCTTAGGAAGCTACTTGAAAAACAGAGTTATTGCTAAATTAATTATTTCTGTTTTACATGGAAAGAATTTGAAATGTTTGTGTCAATATTTTTAACATTATGGGTGCTCTTTTGTTGTGTACTTATTGTTTTTTGAGGAGTCTTTTAAAGAAAGTATTGTAGTACATGATATAATATCATATTAAGCTTTGAAATTACTATAAACATGGAAAAGGAAGGTTTGTCAGTTTTGAATAGAACATTGTGTAAAATAAAAGCATGTATTAATTTGTTGCTAAATGGACTTAATATAGTTTATCATTGTATAAATATATCACCAGTAAGATAATCTATATATTTTACAGGTAGTTACACTTATACACTCAGTTGAGTCTATAGATATATATACATATAATATTTTTTGCCATTAATTTTAAATGAATTATATACATTTTTCCAGCTAGAAATTTGGACTCCCGTAAATTTAGAAAAATTAAGAATAGACTTGGAGAACACATTGAGCAAGGGTATTAGCAGCTTAGCCATTGTTTTGGCTCACTCTTATATGTAGGTATCAGATTTGGTTTATAATTTATTTATGAATATTTTTAAGCATTTTAAAATAAATGTTGTGGGGAATATTGATTTTTGCAATGTTACATGCTATTATTTATGGGTTTAAATGAACATGGTCTTGAAATGATTAACTGCATAAAATTATACTACATAAAAGGAATATAATATGTTTCATAGGATTAAGTGTAAGATATAGTGTGAGGGAACTTGTAGTGTAAATATATTACATGATGATGTTTTGTAGTGTTATAGTTATTCAACAGTTTCTAAACTCATCTTGATGTTGGACTGAAAATCCTCTTGGGTATTAAGAAAACAAAACTGTGGCTTCATATTTGCAATAACAATCAAGCCTAAATTAGCTTTATAAACATGAATCCCCTTATATTGTGTAGTTATTTTACCTGTCTTCCTAACTCCACAGATATAAATGCAATGCAAATTGTTACTAGTATGTTTTGATACTCACATTTAAAACTAAAAAATAACATTTTGGCTATATTATATAGCATAGTAATGAAAGAAAAGCACTGCTTATGTTTAAAATATTTTCTAATAACAATGACATTAAGACAGCTATATCTGTCAACAAAATTTGTGATATAAAATATGGCAGATAATTGTGGAATGCACAGGTGATACATGTATAGGATTTGCAAGCTTTCATCAGAGAAAATATGAGAGAAAAATAATTTGAACATGCATTATTATTTTGTAGTTGCTTTAAATGAAACAATATATTTCATTCATATTCTACCATAAATTTTACAATCACAGATTATGAAAAATATTTTTATACGTTGGTGTTATTTTTCATATTTCAGCCAAATTGTTTGGTTGTCATTTAATCTTTTTGCTTTCCATAAAAACCCATATAGCCTTAATAATATTCATTTTGTGCAGGCCAAGCCATGGTTGTGAGTGTTCTGTCAGCCTCTTTTTACTACCAGGTATCATTTCACCACATTTATTTATGTTTTGCTGGAAGAGGAATCCCTAACCAACTGTTCTTGTTACTAAGGGAATGATATGATGAATAAGAATTAGCTTGTGTATGTCAAAATCAGAGTGTAGATCCCCATCATCATTGGCTGAGACCCAGCCTACACTTGTATTGATCCTTCAGCATGCTTCACTGTTATACTTTGATTATATGATACTGTTCCTCTCTTTTCCACTTAAAAACCTATTGTTGATTGTTGGCATACAACTTAAATTTTAAATAAACTGTAAAGAGCACCATCGTACAACTTTGCTTCATTCACTATGTGAAGTATCATACTCATGTCAGACTATTGGTGTAATTATCTGTATTAGAGTGTCTTGTATCACATAGTTACTTAACCCTTTCACCAAGGGCTTTTCAAAGTGCACATGTCAAGAATTACATTCAATATTTAATTAAACTATGCTATTATCAGTATATACAAATAAATTTGGCATCAAAACATAGCTAATAAATCAAATTATAATATTATTTAAGTTTTAAGTTCTAAAATTTATAAGCAAATAATAAAAAATCCTCAATCTCCACTGGTATGAGAACTGTGATATTTTCTCTCTCGGTCTTTCCTCTTATCTAATTTATTTACCACTTCTCTGAAAAGTACGAAATTTAACATAAATTACATATTATAAGATAGATATTACTCAGGCAAAGCATAGTTTTTATAGCTTTCAATCTTATTTATTTAGAGAGCCATAAACTAGAAACTTTGTCATGCCCACCTGTCACAACCCCTATTTCACATATTGCCAATAGTTTTCTCTGACATTTTATAGTATATTATTTATAACTTATGGAAATCCAAAGTTTTAACCTATCAAAAGGACATATGTTATTACATTGTTTTCAGTACAGAGAATTGCCTATTTTGTTTTCAGTCCATATTTTATTACCATAAGAAGCACATCGACGAGCTTAGCTGAATTTTAACATTTCTTATCTCATAATTAGAATGACAGAAAAATTGATAGTTGTAGGACATTATCTGTTTTTGTCTGTGTCCTTAGGTACAGTATTTTATTAAATACAAAATTATTTATTGTGGTAACACCTTTAGTATTAAAAAGTAGGTTTAAGTTTCATTGTCAGTCTACAGCAAAAAACAAAAAGACCCAGTTATGTACTATATTTCTTGCTTTTCATGTATATTCTTTAGTTATTATTATAAAAGTAACTAAACACTAAAAATTAGAAACTTACTAAGTTTGATTAGGTAAGATAAAGAAAAATCATAATGATAAAATTTTTAACAAGATATGCTGACTAGTAACTTGTGTGTTACATAATTTGATAGGGTAACATGAGGTATATGTGAGGCAGGATTACTTGATAGACATGGCTCAAAAGGTAATGAATCAATAAAATTAAGTATAAATAGATGTATACCATTACAAGCTTTAAACTATTGAGGATGAACAATTGTGGTTTTCTGTTATAATTTCTAATTATTCCAGAAAGAAAAAACAAGCATAACGTAGAATTATTTCCTCATTTTTTATGGTGGTTATGAGTTGGTCAAATCAACTGACCTGGTATAGAGTAATAGTATTGAAAATAACAGATAAAATATAAAGTTTTTCTGAAGAAAAACAAAAAAAAACATCTCTGGGGAAGTACTTTGAAACTTCATTGTCGATACTAAGCAGGATAGAACAGGACTACTCATCTTATGCTACATTTTTCAACCTTTAAAGTTTTATGGTGGTTATGAGGGCAGTCAGATAGATCAGCTCTATATAGAATTAAAGTAGAGAAAATAACAGATAAAATATAAAGCTTTACTGAAAAAAAATATCTGAACTTTATATTGGAGGTTTTAGAGATTATGCAAATGGAATTTGAAAATTTTCAGATGAAGAAAGTTATTTTTAATTTTACCACAAATTTTAGCATTCATCACTCTGAAACCATATAATTACGGACAAAGTTTTAGTTAAAATACTTATTTAAAAATTCAGATTTTTTGTATACAAAAGACTTCATGTTTACCGAAAGCTTGTCAAATTTCCTGAAGATGTATTAAGTATTTTTAGAGATGTAGTATGTATAAGGTCATGTAAAATACATGAGACCATTGTGATAAGGTTAATGAGATTGTCATATGATTTTTATTGCCTCTTATTATGCGGTATGTCTGTTTAATACATGTAAATACTATTAGTAAATTATGGCAGAGTAATAAAATGCATTTGGACAGCACTGTAAAGCACATAGAATAGTGTTTAAATTTGATTGGTGAATATAGATCAACAGGCTTTGAGTTGGCAATTTCAATGGCAATGATTTGGCTGAAATTTTAAATATTGAAAAAGAATTAAAAAAGAGTGACAGCAAATAAAGAAAAAAAGTGTTTAATTGTGAAAGTGAGGACGAATGTACTAAAGATTCTAAAGAAGCATTTAAGATCCATTACTTTAATGTTATCATTGATACAATTTGTATAATTATTGAAACCTGATTTGAGGCTCTTAAAAAATATTCATAAGTTTTTATTTTTGTATGATATATCGAAACTACACACAATTGCAGAATAAGAGCTTCCGATACAGTACTTACCTCCTCCAAGATTAGCTATTCTCGTTCAGTGCTGCTTTGTATATACAAACATTTTCTTTATGCATGCCACAAGCCTTGCACTCCCCTCTTGCTGGAATTAGTACATTCCAACGTGTCTCTCATGCAAATCATCTTGCATCATCTATTAACCAATAGTAACATAGTATGCTCACGTGACACATGTGACTCCCTCTACATTAATCTACTGAACCTTCACTTCTCATTTGGCAGCTTTTGAGTACAGGCATTTTCTTTTTTTACTTTGCGCTTCCCTTGTGACACATTTTTGATTTCATTTGATGTGGTTCTATTTTTATTTTTGGTCATACATTATCACATTTCTCCCAGTTTATTATCATAGCTTTCTGCAATAGACAATTTTGTGCAGTTTTCATGAGTTATGAATTCCGAAGTTAACGTTACCACTTCTGGGGTCACACCAACAACCAATCTTCTATCTCAGGTCTCAGGTGCGGGCGACCCAACTGTGGATCTTTCTGATTTTGTCTGTTGGGAGATTGAATGCTACTTGGGTCACCCTTTGTCCCCAGACATACTCGAGCTTCTTCAGATTCTGCTGAGATTGTTCAGCATGATGACGATTTAGATCATCTTTTTCCTCCTCCTGAGCTTGCCATTCCTTCCCAGTTCCAGCCTGAAAATTCACTTACGCCTTCCTCTGCTTTCACGGATTTGGTACCTCAGGTTTATGATGTTTTTTCTCTTTCACATATTTATTATTCCTCTCATCCTTCTTTGTTGCATGAGCATTTTTCTCAACCATTTTTGGTATTTCCTCCCTCTCTTGATATTCTGGTCCACGTGGATCACTTTCTCTCCCAGTTAGGTGAAGGAATCAGTATTTTGCACTCCCCTAAAATCTCTGATCAGTATGCCCTTGCTTACTATCGGGCAGAATAACTGTTTTTGGATCACCAGTTGTTGGGTTCCTTATTTCCTCTTTATGGGGTGGCTCCTGAATCTAATGTTAGGCTCACATATGCCCAATATTCTCGCCTTTGTCAGTCTCTTACTACCCATCTGTGGTATCTTTCTTCTATACATCTTCTCTTGGAGGCTCTTCACAGAAATCCCGAGGGAATTTCTGCCAATACCCTTCACCTTTTCTCTTCCACTTTGGCTTGTATTTCTTCTTTGGCTCTGTTGTTACTTACATGGTTTTTTGTTGTTGGGGCCTTATCAGTAGGGACTCCATTCTGGCTCATGATAATTTAACCTCCACTTATCTCAGGGATTTACATCTTGCTCTGTTTCTTTGACAATATGTCATTGACACCATCCCTGACCATATCAAGCCACAGGTAACATCTGCCCAACAACAGTCCACCCTTTCAACTTTAATGGCCTGTTTATCTCGACCAGAGCCTTCCATGCCACCTTTTCTCATTTCCCATTGTTTGTCCTCCCA